GGGGGGGGGAGGAGCAGAGGGAGAGGGCGGGCGGAAAAGTACATGCAGTTAAGCGACCGTTAATCATGCCACACGCGACGCCTGCAGGAAGTTCTTTGGATTGGTGGATTCAGAAGCGTCATCCTACCCACGATAATTGCTTAATTATTTCAAGCTGCGTCTCGAAGCCCCTGGATGCTTGAATTTTGCTGTGAACGAATATTAGTCAGCATAATGTTAACTGCGGAGATCAGTATACTCTTTTTAACTTGCATAAAGGTCAGGTGGATGGAATTATTTGTTTAACCAATCGTGTTAATTTTTCACCACTTGATCAGAATGACATCCTGAGTTATATTCATTTTCCTTATTATTTTCATCGAAAATATGTTTTATAGAAAACAAGCACAAAAGTATTCTTTTCAGTATACTTTTTATAGCAACTTAGGCCTACTTTAAATGTTATGTTCGAACGCAGCCGCAGAATTGATTTTCCATCAATGCCTTCCGTGTCATGTTGGAGGCAGAAGCACTTCAAACTGTGTCTTTTCCACTCTGAACAAGCCAAAGCCTTTGTCTGCAGTCTTGAATAATTTTGGAGGAAATCTCACTGAGTATTGGTACCAAACATTTCATGAGGGCTTGTCTGCTGCAACCTGTTTTTGTATGACAAAGGTGACGAGTGAAAGTGCACAAATCCTTGAATGTGCACGGAAATTGATGCCTTAAAGCAACCTCTTTGTTAAATGTGGAGAATTATGAATTTTCAGTAAAAAACCCTTAGATTTTATGAGGTAGGCAAACAAATGTATAACCTTATCGGCAGGTTAGGCCGGAATGGCTATTTCTGGTGTTTTGATCTTCGTAAGCTAACCAATTCCAAACCTAGGTGTTGCAGCTTCGAACACCCAAACTCGCTAATTGTCGGTGTGATGTTCAATACCCTGGCAATGTCACCACAAGCCAGTTTTCTTGTCGGTTACAGGGGTAAATACATTTGTCCCCAGACTAGATTTTTTGAAATGCCGCTGATCGAAGAGCTTGTTTGGCTCACCATTCACAATGCGGTAAATAAACGATAATAAATAGAAATGGTGTCTCCAGCCGGGCCGTCTAATACTGGTTTGTTTTATTCTCTGTCTTTTCTCGTTATATAACTTTTTAACTCTCAAATTTACCTTACTGTGAATACACTATTTATTATGAAAGGCATCATAAAAACATTCATTTTATGGCTCTGATATATTTTTTCTGCGCTGCATAAGAATTTTATGGCGTTCACAGCGTAGAACTCAAAAATAAGACGTTAGAAGAGATATTTACATTGGTAAGTTTTTCTGAAACACATTGTCGAGAGAAATGTCTTTAGTATGCGTTATTGTGCTTGGTCGACTGCTGATACCAACAACCCCAGGCATTATAGGAATTAGGATTTGAACTCAAGCCTATCTGGTCGTAGGTCGGATAAGTACAAAAACCGTTTTGCTGGCCGTACCGAGCGTGCTCTCTGTTTACTGCGGTTTGTAAAATGCCAATTGAGATGGTTGTCAGTACGAAATGAAAAATGTTCACTGCATGCGACCAGCAGATGTTGCAAATAGCAAATACACATCATAGTTGACAGTAACCATGACTCGCTATCATGAGGGAAAAGCTGTGCTGAAGTGCATGCAGTTAGTGCCGGGACTTATAAGTCACTATCAAAATGTCAACTTTAATTATTCTACATAAAAGTGACGATTAGAGTGTCGACCTATTGTGAACGAACATTTGACACACTCCTTCTTCTTGGGTCTGACTGGGAGCCTGATATTAGGAAAATGTGCACTTATAAACATTATAAGCCACTTATTTAGAGGATTACATTGCGTGATGTCCTGTCCGTTTTCAAGTCTAATTGGACAGTTCCTTTAATATGTGGCCCGTTAAATTAGTCTGCGTTTGACAGACGGCAGATTATTGCTAGTTACGGTAGTAAAAATTCCCTAGAGGGCGACGGGCACTCACAATCGCTGCGAAAAATGATGTACGTCGAAACGGTAGAGAAATGGGGGAACTGGGAACAAGTTCTCATCTGTCAGTCAGGCAGGCAGGCAGTCAGTCAGAAACTAACTGTTGAAAATAACCTGCCCTGAGGTGTACTTGGGAAACGTAGATGCAAAGCGGCTCATTGAGTAAGCCAAAGCCTTTACAAAGCAAGCAGAACCTGATACCTGAAACGGACCATATTTCTTTGTCAAAAATCTGGAAGTGAATCAAATAGGACAACTAGAAGATGACTCCTTACTAGTCCTATTACTGCAGAAAAACACGCGGCCGACACCTTGGAAACCAGAGCGTCTGTCAGCATAATTGGAGCAACACGATAGTGCAATTATTCACCAAACCCATCCCAAACTGGAGTGAGCTGCATTTACACAAGCAGTCACCATGGCCCTGGGGCCTAGAACTATTGGAGTAGGCTCAAAAATACCTGAACGAAACGTGAGACGAAATGGGGCCTAGAAATGATGCCTGGGAATTTCCAGATAAGACCCCTTCGTAACAAACACACTTAGCTCGCCGAATCATGCAGGTTTATCGAGCGTGCATTTGCTCTTTGAGGCATAGCTGCGAAGATGAATAACGGGGCGATTATCATGTGGTTGACACACACGCACACATGTGGACTAGATGCCCCCCCTGTGTGTATGGGTTCTGATGTACGCTGAGCAGTGCGTTGCACTGATCACATGGTAAAGACCAGCGCAAGGGTGTGATTTCCCTGTTAATCCGTTTGAAGACTTTGCACTTATCGCCGATCCGCAGGCCTATATAATGCATGGCTGACGACGTAGGGGCGCGCCCTGTTGTCTGTGTTTGCTGAAGCCGCGTAAGAATGGAGGCCTTCATTGGATCGTGGGAACTCAAAGACAGTGAGGATCTGACTCCGATAATTCAAAAGATGGGGGTTACGATTCCCAAAGACCGATTGCAAACGATGTCAAGGTCAATCCTGGCATTCGCGCGCGACGGCGACTTCTACGAAGTGAACGTAACCGTTGGCGGCCGAATTAAGACTGCCAGGTTCAGGCTAAATGAAGAGTTCGAGCACGATACTATCGATGGCCGACACATCAAGGTAAGCCGCCATCGCCTTTTCACGGGTCCATTTTGAGCCACGGTTTTCTGAGCTATCTTCTGTAAGCTAATGTCCCGACTACGTTTCGCATTGAGGGTGTACCCCTGGAGTCGCGTGATTAAGAAATTTTACTTGTTTAAACTCGCTTCATGGGACTCATTATAATTGCACGATTGATTAAGCGCCCACTTACCTTATGACAGTATACCCAATTCGATATACTTTGAGGTAGAGTGACATTTCATTTAGGACAATTCGACAGAAAAGTCTTCCACAAGGGCAAATGCATGTATTGTATATGGCTTAGTGAATGGTATTAAATCAATAATATTTTTGACAGTATAACGTGATGGAACCACGAACGAGTTGCATCCACCTATCCCAAAAATACGCATTTATCAATAGCTTATGACAGAATGCTTAAGATGTTTTCAGTCGACTTAGAGAACTGATGTGCTTAATATGCATCTATTATTCAACATTAGGGTATAAAAATATGCATCTGATTTCAAAAAATTGCACTCTGCCTAGACTACTTTTAGGTCAAGTATATTTTCTGTGAGCACAAAGGTACCATAATATAGAATACCAAAAAAATTCGATTAAACCAATTTTAATACGAAGATTCTGTGATGTTGCTCCCTCCAGATGATGGTCAAATTGGAAGGTAACACGCTTACCATCCAACAGAATGGGGAACGAAACATGTGCTATGAGATGTGCGCCAAGGACGCTAATTTAACCATGGTAAGTAAACTCTGTATTCTGCTCTTTCGGAAAAATTGGCAAATAATATATAACTTTTGTACAGCTCAATCCCACAGGATGAACACTAACAAACAAATGACTAATACAGGGCAGTTAAGAGTCGCCAATTGGCAGAATGTAATTACTAATGCACACGAAATGGATTCGGGAAACAAAAAAACTGTAATAACTAGCGATTGATCGTTTAAAAAATTATTTATGAATACTGTTTGCTAGGGCAGATAAGTCATTTATCCGACAAGGCGTCTTGATTAAACTGATCCTTTACACTGTCTTGTCGTATTCACCTACACAGTAACCACCGTTGTCTGGTTTGTTTTTAAAGGTTTCAAATGCACTACCTCCGTCCACTCTCATTGATACTTGCTTGCCTATTTCGGTATCCCGCTTTCAAAAAATGAACTCTAACGGCAATTAGCGCTCAACCTTGCCTCTGACTCAAATAGACCTACTGCACAAGGAGCGTTATTCAATTTTGGCACAGGCGTATATTCGAGTGAACTTTTGTTCAGAAGAAGAAAAATCGATCACTGGAACAGATCACTGCACAGATCTGTGCATTTATCACTCCTTATCTACGCATGTCTCAGACTTGTTTACGAGTACCTATGACTTAGGATTCCCGACA